AGGTTGTGAGAGGGATGTTCGATTGCTGGTGCGGAAGTGGGCCTAAACTAACAGTTGGACACCCCTTGAGGAGTCCCAGATTGGAGAGGTTGCAGGCCAGGCTGAGGGACACCTCCCTACCCGTGCATGAATTTTGTGCACTGGGCTTCTAATTAAATATAATAATTACAGTGAAGTTATATAAATAAAAAAGAAACCCATTCAGATTCTTAGGAAATTGAGTCTTACATCCTGACTAGGAATTTAAATGACAGAAAGGAGACTAAAAAGAAATTGATTCAATGAAAGTACCATGAACAAAACTGAACAACATGAATGGCAGAAAGAACATAGAGAACTAATGATTTTGCCTTACTTTTAATTTTTTTTCACCTGAATAGACAATATTTTTGGATGTGGGTATTAGTGATAAAATTAAGCTCAGAAAACAGGATGAAATGACTTGTGGCTATACTGGCTGTCATATTCAGGAAAACCTGGGAAAAGTAGTGAATGAGTTACTTGTTTTAAATACAAAAGCTCACTATTGGGAATGGAAAAGAGAGAACATTTTCACCGGGTTTTAATTAAGCTGTTTGTGCACAGAGCCTAAAACATTGACCATACTGAGATTGCCAATTGGAGAGAGATTACTTTGACATGGGCATAATGTACCTTCAAGGAAAAATGTGTTTTCTCCATGAGCTCCTCAGTAGTTATCAGTGCTTTGCACCAGCTTTAGCTGTTCTTTTAGTTATCCACCACCTGGCCTTTGGTTGTAAACTCCACTGTGAAAAGAGGATGGTTATATCCAGAGGATTAGTTGACTCTCACGTGGCCTAAGATAAGAAAAGGAGATGACCATCTCTTCAAGTAGCTTGACCTGTACTGAGCCTTCTTAATATGTTTTGCTTGTGATGAAGTCTATTAAGTGGAAATACACATTACACCTGCCCCTTGCCATACCCTACTTCTCATATGTTTCCTAGTATTTGAAAAATGAATAGCAAAGGATGCCCTATCTGTAAGGTCTTGCCACTAGCAAACCTTTGCCTGAGAAAGCAGCTGTAGCAGATTTTGAAGTTCACAGCTCAAGATTTATGTAAAATGGATTTGGCGAGATTTTGCCTAGGAGCTGAAAAAAAAAATCAAACTTACTGGCCCGCATGAAATTTTATTAACTGAAATCTCATCAATCCTTTTGCTGACCACATCCCCAGAAACAGACAGCTGAGCTCCTGGGCAGCTATGTGACCAAGCAGAACTGAGCCAGCTGTCAGCTTGCTCATGAAGGGGAACCTCCAGAGAGGAGTGCAGATCCCTTAGCAAATGCAGCAGCGCTTCAGAGTGTATATCATCCATAACCTTTCCATAAACTGGCATCTCTTCCATCTCCTATCCCATTTTTAACTTTAATAAGAGGTATTTTGATCTGAAAATGGAGACTGACCATGTTGGCTTTACTTTCCTATATTTCGAATTGCAATGCCTTCCCACAGCAACTAGAGATGATGCAGGTGTAAATCCTACCCACACACAAAAATAGCTAATAACCTTTGTCCACTGAGAATGGCCTCGGAGAGATCAGTCTGAGCCTGCACTTCATTCTGACAAGTTATGGGTACAAATGATTGAACAGGGGCTACATGCTCATAGGGCACCCAAAAGTATTTGCCAAAGGCATATAAAAACACTGGAGGCCCAGAGTATGGAATTTGTGCACAGGTAGGGTCCCTAGGCCTGGCCAGCAATCAGGGCCAATCAGGTTCCCAGGTTCCCTGCCTCCCTGCCTCCCTCCTCCTTTCCTCACTCCCTCAGTGCCCTGCCCACCGCTGCTAGTAGCCTGCCATGTTATGCACTGACTCCTAGTGATCAGCACATGTCATAGTGAGTGATTGAAATCCCATTCTCCCGGTCGAACTCCTGAGGAGGCACTTTGCATATTAGCCTTTTATATATATGGCTGTTTCAAATCAGAGCTCATTGGGTTAGTCAACAATAAAAGGAGCATTTTTAAAGATGTTTAAACTTAACCCCTAAAGTTAAAATTTTCAATTACCATGGCTTATTTGGAGGAAAGGCAATTATTCAATGTGAGTCATTATCTTTATTTTAGTAAGGTTCTCTTCCCCCCTCCCCGAAGTCTCTTAAAAATTACACATAAAACACATAAAATTAGAAGAGGATTAAACTTCATGGAGTTTCACTACTGGTTTTTATGATAAGTACTTTGCACATTATATTTAAATTGGTTTGCATTTCTTTACGGATTCATTAACATGCTGAGAGCCAAATCATGTGGCCATAAACAGTCACCGTGACTTTTCATAGTTGCTAATGCTGCAACCATTATAACATTTTTTCAATCAACTTTTGGAAGAAAAAGGCATTATCATAAACTCAAAACCTGATTTAATAACTGTTTTCACATGAAATATAACAAAAATATTATTTTATATAGCACACTTTATGTGATGTTATAGTGTGTTGCCTCTTATTCAAAGAAAACAGAAACAAAAGTAATAACCAGACTTGATCTAGACACTTAAAAATTCACAAATACGTGTAATTTATAAAAACACAGGAAGTAAGAGTATAGTTCTAAGATAAATACAATATTTAAAATTCTATTTTTTTACTAATTTTAAAATGAATTAGTATATAGTGTGACTGTTATAGATTTGCTTATGTGAAATGGTAGGAAAAGAGTTGGTTTTGTCCAACTTTATATTTAGGCCAAATTTAAATTATCGTTTAACACATCCAGAATATTCCTCTCTATCTTAGGACATCAATTGTATATATTTTAATACCTTCAATTCAGCAGGAATTTATATATGGCACATGGTTCCTTAATTACTTCACACATCTTTTAACCAAAAATGTTAAAAGCTAACATATATTTAGCACTTGCCAAGCACTAGTTCACATTTTTAGTGTGCATGTGTATTTATAACATTTAATCCTCACAAAAACCTTATGAGGTAGGTTTTGGTCTTGTTATTATTTTAATTTTATAGAATTAAAAAAGATACAAACATGTTGGGTAAGTTGCCAATCATTTCACAGCCACTGAGTGGTAGAGTCAAACTCCAAATACAGTGGTCTGATTACAACCAAAGTGCCTTCTTGTGAAGCTAATTGAAGAGTAATTTTTTTTTCTATCCCCATAGTAATTTTTGGAACAGAGACTGGGAGAGTCAAATTTAGACTCCCCTCAGCAGTCTCCTTTTACTCTTACAAGGTACCTTTTGAGCATAACTTTGAATTTCCAGGAATGAAAAGTCTCTGATATTAGAAGCAATATTACAGTTATCAATAAACTTCTAGTAACCATGTCAATCTAATAATTATTTGTAAAGTGGATACATTAAAATATATAAGATAAATATGTTGCAAACATCAAAAGAAGGAAATAATTATATGAAATACTTAAACTCATGGAGATATATAGGATATATATATATATATATATATATGTATGTATGTATAAAGGTTATAAGTGAACCAGATATTTGATTAACATCCTAAAGACAGAGTCAAATATAATCAGAAATGATTCTCAGGCAAAAGAAGTTCTCAGAAGAAAGCTGATTTTTACTAGAACAGAACAAGTTTTTCAGCACCTCATAAATATAGCAGTGAACCATATTTATTTTAGCACATCTACTGTAAAACCAATATTCTTGATCCAACTAATTGTCACAAAGTTAATTACCATAACTTTCAGTTTTCAATTCTAAAATTATAAGCACATAAAATTTAAGCTCACTTTCAAATAATATTTCAGTAACATGGCTTTTAACTTAAATAAGAACTTGTCATTGCAGTGTTAGAGGTCTAGAATTTCTGTGCAGAATTTGTGAAGGTGATAGTTTTCATTGTTTACTAGAAGATAAAAATGCTTTGACAGTTAATAGAGAACTGATATGTCCTTTTATGCAAACAAAGATATGGATTAAGGGCTTCTATCTCAGTATATGGCTGCTGCTCCATCTCCTTTCATCTGTGAGATAAAATCATGTGGGAAGAGACATGATATTCCAAGAGAACTGTTGTTCATTTAATCCAACAGAGAACACTTTTAAAATTTACTGACCAGTAACATAACGATTTTAAATGTTTATTTCTCTATAGCCTTAGCCAAAGGATTTCTGAGAAATTTTATTTTTCTCTTGGATTAATAGAGAAAATAATGGAAAGATTGCATCAGTTTTGTTTTTTAATTCAAATCCTAAAACATTTGGTAATTTGTAACAAATATTTTTAATTCTTATAAAAGTTAAAGATTGTTGCATAATCTTATCAAGGAAAATTATTAATGCTGGCATTTATGAAAATGTGTGTAATCTAAAATATGATGGATCTATAGAGCTCTGGTGGAATAAAATTTTAAATAAACTTCAATCAAATATACCAATCCCATAATGTTTATTTTTAATAATAGTTTTATTATAACATGACAGAATGATAATTCCATCACATTAATTATAATTTTATATTAATATTTGCATAGTTTATAAGCAGCATTTTCATTATAATTTTATATTAATATTTGCATGGTTTATAAGCAGTGTTTTCATGCTATTTTATTTTCTAGGAATAAACTCTATTATGTAAATGTATTTTAATCTAGATTAATAGGGTCATTCATGTGTGATTTGGAAAGTAATTATGTTACACATAATTTAAATAGAATATTACTTTTAGCCTTCCTTACCATATACCCCACATAAATATACAATATTTCACTGATTTTTGGAAATGATGGCCAAAATGATCACAAAAGTTTGCTCTTACTGTGGATAATATTTCTGGAAAAATACATACTATGTATCATATTTAATTATAGTTAAAAGTCTGTTTAAAGAATTCCTTAATACAGAAAAAAAAATGACCTTTCTAAATTAATTCCAGCAGAATAACAACAAGAAAAAGATTTAGAAGGCCATCATTTTTATTTTAGAAGATTTATTATCATTGTCACCTTCATATTGAGTTGCTTTCAAAGGTATCTCTGACTGTCATCTTGGCTATGACTTCTGATGTTAGGACTGCCTCCTGGCCCTAATTTACTCCTGGAATGAACTGCTATAAGTGGAATGTAAAAATGGCCAAATCCCTAGATATCCCCCTAAGGCAATCTAATTTGTAAATACAGCATTGATTCTGCTCTAACAGATTCTTTAGTAAGAAGTAAACATTTTTTGCCAAAGCCGGTTTGGCTCAGTGGTAGAGCGTCTGTCTGCGGACTGAAGGGTTCCAGGTTCGATTCCGGTCAAGGGCATGTACATTGGTTGCGGGCGCATCCTCGGTGGGGTGTGTGCAGGGGGCAGCTGATGGATGTTTCTCTCTCATCGATGTTTCTGGCTCTCTATCTCTCTCCCTTCCTCTCTGTAAAAAAATCAATAAAATATATTTTTTAAAAAAAGAAGTAAACATTTTTGAGAGTGGTATTTTAGTTGTTCACAGAAGCATGAGAATTAGGGAAGGAAAGAAGTAAACAAGTGCCCTATAAAAGGAGGTTGCAGTGAATTATATAAGTACTAGAGGCCCAATGCACAAAATTCATGCAGAGAGTAGGCCTTCGTTCCCCCAGTGGCTGGCTTCCTTCTGGCACCTAGGACCTGGACTTCCCTCTGGCTTCCCTCGCAGCCCTGACTTCATCCAGAAGCATGGCCTGTCTAATAATATTATGCTTTTATTATTATAGATGTTTCTAAATAGGTTGGCGTATTTGTTTTAATTACTGTACCTTTTTACTTGTCTACATTTCTAGTACATAGATCTAAAGTGTGACTTAATATTGGAGTGTCTTGGAGAGAAAAGGCCAAAATGTATACCATTCTTGCTTTATGTGTTCTAGTCAATCTCTAAAACAGGCGTCTTCAAACTACGGCCCGCGGGCCACATGCGGCCCGCAAAGGAGTCTGATCCGGCCCACCAGGTTTTTTGGGCAGTGAGCGCAGCCGAGGTGTTACAGTAGGAATTAGTAGTTCATATAGTCTGGCCCTCCAGCTCTCTGAGGGACCGTGATCTGGCCCCCACTTTAAAAAGTTTGAAGATGCCTGCAACAACCAAGCTCTTAATTGTTACTTAAGGATCATGTTTATTCCTTTGAAGTTTCAGAGAAAGTTTTTCATTATAAAGTTCCAGTCACTTTAAGACATATCAGCATAAATTTTTAGCAATTAAATTTACCATACGAAGCAATGACAGTCTGCAATTCTTGAAATTTAAATTATGCTTCATCTGAAAACAACAGAACTCTAAACCTGAGTTTTTCAATTAGTACTAATGTGATATAATTGCAAAATTAGTCCAAGAGATGTCTGAAATTTTAGAAATAAATTATGCTAAGAAGGAGTTTCACACTTAAGAATACCAATTCATCTCTTGCATACACTTGTGAATCAAATGCAAGCAAAACTATGCTCTCAGTAACCGAATACTAATTCAGGTCAAATATACAATATGTTTCACACAATAAAAAGAATTATTAAAATGAGCAATGAAATTATTTATCTTCATGCTTAACAACCAATTCTAAAATAATAATAAAAAATCAAATGGAGACTCTAATGAAAATATTTTACTTTAAAACTTAACAGTGACAATAAACTGCATGTAATCTAAATTTACAAAAGCTGAAAAATAAAAATTTAAAACATTGAGAATTAGGAATCACTAATTCAATTAAATGGCATGTATATTTGCCTCGTGAGTTAATCATTATGCATTTAATATGTATATATTGTGTGTTCTTTAATTTTCTTTTATTTGGTTTTACATTTATCTTTTAAATTAATGAAAAGATTAAGATGTATAATGACTAATTTGTTGGAGTACATCAATGCCAAGCAACCCTTGCAAAGTCTTAACATGCCCAATAAATTAAAAAATGGAAACATTTTTTTTTTTTCACTAAATTGTATTATTTACTTCTCTGTACTTAAGGTCTTTTTTTTTTTTTTTTTTTTTTTTTTTTTTTTTTTTTGTACATGTGATGCACCCAAAGCTGACTGATGTAAATATTTTAAGTGGCTTGAAGAAGTGAACCCAGGACGTTTAACACAGGAGGAATATCTATCTGCCATGGTTTTAAGTGATATAAAGAGCAAAAATTCACTACTCTCCAGTTCCCAAATCACTGCACCATTTTATATGTATAAGCTTTATTCTGGTCTAATTTTCTTCATAATTAAGCCCTTACCTGATGTGTCTTTCCATCATATCTTTTCATCACACATGCTATGCAAAACCACCACAATCATAAATAATCTAACCAGCATAAATATCCAGCTTTTTGCTGAAAACAACAGAAATGTATGTACTGAGTTCACTATAATTCTCTGGATTATATTCTAACCTGACCCTAATGTTGTGTGTGTGTGTGTGTGTGTGTGTGTGTGTGTGTATATATAATATATATATATATATATATATATTTTTTTTATCTCCTTACTAACTCTCCCATTTTCCCTCAAGTTCATCTTTCCAAACTGGCTATATCCTTTTCATTCTATTGAAAGAAACTTATCTTGGACATGACTGAAATAAATAGAAACAATTCCATAAGAACTCTCTCAACTTCGTTCTGCAGTGCCTCTAAATTTTATATCATGACCATTTAATGCCCTGACCTTTTTTAGCATTTTCTCAAAATCAGAATACTACCTGCTAGCCCACATCTATGTTTAGTGGTTGCTTATACAGTGAGAGAGTACACTTTGCAACTTTATTTTGAAGTCATCAGAAGATGTCTTCCTCTACAGAGTACCTATATAAATAAAATCCTAATATGCAAATAGACCAAATGGTAGAACAACCAAATAATCGGTAACTATGAAGCATGCTGACCATCAAGGGGGTGGGTGCATGGAACATGGCTGGTGTTGGCAACAGGCAGCAGAGTGCATGAGGACATTAGCTATGGTGGGATGATGGAGCAGGTGAGCTGGGGCACCAGACCAAGGCAGGACTCCAGTAGCTGTCACTGGGTGAGCTTTTGGTGGTTACTAAAAAGTCTTTGCTCCCACATACCGTGGTCCCACTGGCACTCGCACCAGTGCCAGCCCCGATCGCTTGGTGCCATCAGTGGGTCTGAGCAGTAGCTGCTGGCCCCTATCACTCCTCAGGGCTTCTCCACCTCCCCCTGCTCCTAAGGGACGATCTGGGCCAGCAGCGTCTCTTGCATCACTGAAGACACCAGCCCACTCACACCCACAGCTGCTGCTGGCTCCAATCCCTCCGCACAGTCAGCGGGGACCAGGGGCCAAGCGGGAGGGGCTGGGCAAGGAATGGGCCAAGACTTGCCCCCATGGCCACTGTAGCCTTGGAGCCCACAGTTCCTTCCAAGGTGCGTGAATTCATGCACTGGCCCCTAGTTCAAATATACAATAAAATGTTTAAAAAGCAAATCTTTTAGTTTTTTATTTAATTTTTTAAAAACATTTTTAAGTCTTTTAGTTTTTAAGTATCCACACAGAAACTATAATTCCAAAAACACTACTTTGACCATGTGGTTATGGCTTTACTTTGCTCCTCAATTCTCACAAGTTCAGAAGATAAAAATATAATAATGGAGATGGGATGAAGGGTGGAGAGACTAGGTGTCAATGTGCTAGACATATCTGGTATTCATCTCTAACTCCCCCAGAAATGTTGCAAATTTTATAGTTGGAAATAACTGCTTTACACAGACAGATTAATTTCTATAAACATAACTGACTAGGTTATTTTAACCTATTCTTCCACACAAACAAAAAAGTAAAAATGTTGAGTAAAATATTTTATTCTAAATTATCAACATTTTATTTTATTTTATTTTATTTTATTTTATTATTTTATTTTATTTAGCATTGTATATCATACTTTGTAACCATGCTGCCCTAAATCCCTCCTGGATTTTATAGTATAGTATTAGTGACTGGAAAAGTTTACCCAGTTTTCTTTTAATAAAAACAGCTAAAAAGGACAATGTATTAATACATAATGGAAGACTATTATGTATGGAGGGTTTTTTTGTTCATAATAATAACTACCATTCAATAAATATTTCTCTGTACCAGGCACCATACTACATTGTCTCATTTAACTTTTAAAAATATTTTTAAAATTTATTTCTGAGAAGAAAGGAGAGGGAGAGAGTAATAGAATCATCAGTGATGAGAATCATTGATTGGCTGCCTCTTGCATGCCCCCCACTAAGGATCCAGCAACCTGGGCATGGCATGTGGCCTGTCTGGGAATCAATCCCTGACCTCCTGATTCATAGGTCAATGCTCACCCACTGATCAATGCCAGCCAGGTGAATATTTTATTCTGTAAGTTTCATTTTAAATATTTCTTCAGAAATCATAGACTGATGTTTAAATAATAAACAAAGCTATTGTGTGTTCCCTGTGGTGTTTAAGCATATATCCATCACCTAATACTGAAGTGCTGTTATGGAAACATTTTGCTGATAAATAAGCATATGTTTTTCAGGAAACATTATCTGTAATTGTATAGTTCACTGTTATAAATCATCCACTCACATCTTTATTGCAATTGTCATTGTTTAATAGTTTAATTTATTCTATCCTGAAACTTGGTTTCAAATACTTCAGGCAAATATTTTCATACTTACTGACTTTTATTCACATCAACCACATTTTACACAAAGAATAGAAGGAAGTAATATGGCATACAATGCCTGATTCATCACAAGTTATTTAAATGTCTACCTCACAACATGAAGATGGTAAATCATTTAAAGTAACTCAACCAGTTCCTTTACATAATAGAGAAAACAAACAGAATATGTGCATGTTATGAAAAATGAAAAGGAATAAGATAGACACTTATTCCTTTTCAGAAAAAAAAAAAGAGATAAGGCTAAAAAAAATGTATGAAAAAGAAAGATCACTGCCTATGTAACCTTTAATAACAGTAGGGGGTAAAATTGAGAATGATGGCTTTCTCATTTCCCTCCAGTGTAATCTCACTATTTAAAGTTCACTCTGCTTCATGTGAATAATGTATGTAGCCTGACATTCCAGGACAGGAAGAAATAACATAAGCCACAGTTTAATAAGCATTAAGTGAACAATACCATTTCTTATTATATTAGAGAAGAGGAAGTAGAATTTATCAAATTGAATCAGTAATTATTAAGCTTTTAAAATATCAAGGCTTAGATTAAGTAAAGCCAATATTTTGCTACTTAATTATCAGGAAAAAAACATAAAATATTATTATTTAAATGTCAATTTTTTCCATTTTACATATTTTTAGAGTTCTCTTAAGCCTGAGTTTATCACACGTAGCAAAAACTGCCCTACTTAAAAAAATTCTGTACCCCAAGTAAATTAATAATTAACAAGACACACAAAAAAACCACCAATCACAAGACTGTTTCTAATATTAAAGATCATTAGGAAAGTAGTGTAACACCTCATGTATCAAGTACTGTAAAGCAGTAGGAATACTTAGCATAAATAACTTTCAAAATATCTGAAACTTCCAACTTAACTTAAAATACACTTTCTTTTATATGTCCCAATACTTGTGTTTTATATTAAGTTTTACTATTAAGTTTCTGTAACTTGTACTTTTGTGTCAAATTATTAGCTATCCTTGACAATTGAATTTCCATATACATTTGGAAGTCAGTTTTCCTATTTTCATTAAAAACCTGCTGTTGCTGAAACCGGTTTGGCTCAATGGATAGAGCGTCGGCTTGGGGACTGAAGGGTCCCGGGTTCGATTCCGGTCAAGGGCATGTACCTTGGTTGCAGGCACATCCCCAGTAGGGGGTGTGCAAGAAGCAGCTGATTGATGTCTCTCTCTCTCATTGATGTTTCTAACTCTCTATCCCTCTCTCTTCCTCTCTGTAAAAAAAAAATCAACAAAATATATTTAAAAAATAAATAAAATAAAAAATAAAAACCTGCTGTCATTTGTATTGTGATAGCATCTGTTTATACATAAATTTGGAGGAAATCAATCTTTTATAATATTGACTCTTTCCATCTATAAATACATGCAAATACATCCATTTATTTAGACAATCATAACAAATCTATACTATGTCATTGTTCTCCTTATACATACCTTTTATATCTTTAAATTTATATAATTTTTTAAGTTTATCACCTTTCCACTTTTCTCATTTAAAAATCCCTCGTGGTGACATCTCATGAAGCTTTCAGATGTAGTTATTTGCCTATCCACATTCAGTACATACTGAACATGAGAAATGAGAATTTATCATAGTGCCATTTCTCTATTTATATCCCACCAAAAAGACTATTCTCATAGTTGCATAGTTGAAGAAACATATGGGCTAGGGACATTTTTAAGAAAACTAGATATTTAAATTATATTAGAAACAAGGATCTTGATTAAACATTGAAAGCTTGATTTAAGCCCAGGTTTTTATTATTTCTTGCTGCTTTTACTATATCTCTTTAAAATGTTCTTTTCTGCCATTTAGAGGCCCAGTGCACAAAATCTATGCATGGGGAAAGGGGGTATTCCTCAGCCCAGGCTGTACCCTCTCCAATAGGGGACCTCTCAGGGGATGTCTTTAAAAGTGATTTCCAGCCCCTGTTAACTTTATGATTTCTTGAATCTGAACAATTAAATACTATTATAGTAGCCAATAGCTCTCTGCCGCCCTCCTGTAGCTGCCCCACCCCCATTCTCCCTCCTCCCCACATAGCTTGCTGCCCTGACCCCTCCTGTAGCTTTTCACCTCCTGCTTCTTGTAGTTTGCTGCCCCACCCTCTTGCAGATCCATGATCTGGTATTTAAGCAGTTAGTCATTATGCTTCAAGGCATAACAAATAATTAGCATATCACTCTCTTATTATATAGGATTAAGCTAATAATATGTTTTAATGGGCAACTAGAAGAAAATATGCCATCTATTAGAAAAAAAACTCATATAGTGGAGCATTATTATGACTGTCTTGTCTTGAAAAAATGTCACAACTGATATACAAATCATATCATTGAGTCAATAGAGTGATAATTAGAATATGAAAAATGTCAAAGTAATAAATATGCTTACAGTGTGAATGGTCTCCTTATTCTTTACTGCTCATAAATAATGATGTAATAATACTCTGCAATAGCAGATAAATAATACACAATCAATTTAAAAAATAATCCTAATATTAATTGAATAACACTCTATATAATTTTTATACTAATATTTCTTACAAAGACATTTTGACGTCCTACTTTGTCCTTGACTAGTAAAAACTGAGATATTATCTCTTACCATATTTTATCTGCTTCACTCAACCATGACTCAAAATTTTTGTATTCAATGTTCAACAAATGTATAATTTATATCTTCAAGCATATTTACTTCATATACAAAATCAGTTAATAAGCTAATATATTTGTTAAGTTTGTACTGGCTTTTTCTGAATCAGACAAATGTAAATAACTAATATTTCAAGGTAATATCTCAGATAGAAAATAAATGTTTGATTTAATCTATAACATTATTCCATGCAAGGCCTTCCTAATGCTTTTTTAGTGTATTATTGTCAAAGGAATTAATTAATCATTGTAGCTACCTATATAGTTTATCTGTATAGTTAAGAATGGAGGGTTTGGAATACTAGAAGACATGGAATAACAGAATTAGTTTTTATGATTAAAATATTTAAATCTAATTATTTTTATTATATTTGTGATTTCATATGCAACATAGATAGAAGGCAAGGCAAATTACTATGATCTTTCAAGAAAAATTATTCCAATGAGTTTAACCAATTTATATTTTAGATTGTATTAACCTAAAATTTCAAGTAATATCACCTTTGACATTACTGATTTATCTGAGATAAGAAGAAGCAAAGATGAATTAATGAAGGCAGTATGAAAATTCTGACACTTTACTTCACAAAGGCAAAAGAAATAATACAGTGTCCATAATTCCATATTTTTTTCAGTTCACAGATAATATTTTTCCTTAAAATACTACCTTATAAATTTAACATTTATAATCATTTTGAGGATATTATGAGAATAAAAGCAAATATTAACTGTCTATAAACTAAAACATGTTTCTAAAATGTATATTATAACATGGACTAATATGATATTTTAAGATATATGCTAATAACTTTAAAAACATATGTGACTCATATACAAAAATAATATACTGATGATATCAATATAATTTTTAAGGTCAGAAACATAAATAATTCCGAGAAAGGACAACTCACACTATAAATGATTCACTTTTTCAACCTTCAGGTCTTAACTTCAATGACACCTCCCAATAGAGCAATTTTCTGATTTTTCTTTCTAAATATAAGTTTCCTGGCCCCTTGTCAGTCTATTCCACATGTTATTTTCAGAGTCTAGAAAAATACTTCATATACATTAGTGATATGATCAGCAAAATTTCCATTTGTTATTCCTGTAAAAAATGACTCATGAATTCACCAGAATAGAAAAAAAAGTAATAAAATTGTGAATATGTAATATGGATTTAGAGATATCTTTAAGTGGCATATTTTAAATGGTAATGTATTGCTACTTTTGAAGTTATTTATGCAAATGTGGTGAATATTGCTGAATGTTTTACTATAAGTAGCATTTCTACTTTATTATTTTGCTTTTCTCTGCTCTAGAAACTACTCCAAAATATATCTCCCAAGTTAAAATTTAGCAAAGTATAAATCCCACACCAGATTTATATATTTCAAAATTTAGTTCTTAATGTATTTTACATGTGATTTACAAAAGAAATATATGAGTAAGGTCATTAAATATTCAGTATTTAATCAATGGAACACTTGAAAATAAAAGATAAATGCAAATCTGATGTTACACTTCACAATTTATTCAGTAATTATTCAGAGTATGTAAATTTTTACGGAAAAGAAATAAAAATAAGCCAGTTCAAAATGAAATATCTTCTTTGTGCAACACTTTCAATTGTTTCATTATAATTTGAAACATTTTAATAATGTCAATTTGAAAGAAACCCAACTTGGAAAATACATTGAAAGCTGTAATAATTGAAAGAATGATTTATGGTCTTGAACAGGTTAAATTCAATGTATTGTTATGAGCTAAAAACAAAATTGCTAAGCAGGTAGTTTGTTACTAAAATATATGCATTAAATATCAAAGTAATCAAGCTCATTAGGAGAACTACACTGATTGTCAGAAAAACTTATTGGTTCTTGTTAATGTTCTAAAGAGTTTCTTTTCCTGTAGCATTAAATTATTGAGCATCTGAGTAGAAAAAATGAACAATAAATAAATGAATGCAAAGATAAAACTCCATACACATTAGTTCAAGAGATTTCTGTTTGTGCCCAAAAGAATCTAAATTGCATGAAAAACTAAACCACACGCTTCAGGAAAATATTAAATAGGAAACCCCTAACCACGTGAGCATCCAGACAGTCTGATCAATCATCCTGAAGCAGCCCAACCACAATTCAAAATCTCCAGGAAGAAAATCCATTGGGCCAGATCATAAGTAGAAGTTGTCACTTAAACATATTTTAACAAACATAAAATTTGAAAATGTAAAGATAGTTTTATGTTTTATGTTTTATTTAGGTATTTAGGTACCATAAGTATTAAATTATTAATGATAATACTAACTTATTTAATAGATGTTTAGCACTCTCCTAAACATTAAATATTATCTCATTTAGTTTTTTTACAAAAACATTAAAAGGTAGGTACTATAATTATTCCTATTTTTTCCACAGGAGAAAAGAAGAAGCAAAATTTCTTACATAAGTTGCCCAGGGCACATAATTTAGTGCAGGTTCTCATTTTTCTAAGAAAGGAGTAGCATGCAAGAAAAGCTAGTATTGCTTCCACTGTCACACTGGCAGGAAAATCTCCTGACCTCACATTCAGTAGGCTTTAAGTGGCATCACCCAGACATAAGATCATACAGTTGTAGTCTGTGTGTAAATAAGCGCCATTTTCCCACCTGACTCCTCTCTTATGCTGATTATCAGTCTTGATATTTCCCAGGAAATAAGTAACACTATATATGATATATACAATGGGGTCACATTCACCATTCTTTCACAAATTGAAATTCTCTATTAATTTAAAGCAAAAATAGCATATACATTAGGTAATATCAGTACCTAGTATTCTTTCTCTCCCATGAAAGTAAGAAGATTGTATATAAAAGTTTCAAGCATTATAAAATATAAGGTTTTTAAAATGTTCTTTGTCAAAGGTAGTCTTAAATAACATTATCTGAGACTTGACTTTCGTTTCACTTCTTAAGGTACTTAGTCCTAGTATGACCAAATCAAAATTGTACATGTCATCCAGAGTAACCTCTCATCACCACAGTCACAAACTGGATTGTATCTTTTTATTGTTATGCCTAACTTTCCCATTAAATTTGTATTATTTTTGGAAAAATTATATTAAATCTCTGTTGCCTAGGACAGCACTTGATTGGTGTTTATTATTAAATTGAAAATTTATTAATTTGTGGTGTATTCTTAATTTATTCAGTTGTTTATTTAACATTTACTAAGTAGCTATTACTTTAGAAGACAACCTTGGTGCTTGAAGGTAAGATGAAGTGACTGTAAGCTGGTTTAGGGAAGATGAATAAAACAAAATAAATTAGTGAACTAACTATGGAAATATGAAGTAAATGAATCTAATCCACAATAAACAGAATAAAAAGTCCTACCTAATAAAGAGAAAATATGCTAATTAACCATCACACCCTCACAAAGATGGCAGCCACCACAGCTAATAAGGAGGGAATATGCTGACTGTGATGCCCTCAAAGATGGTGGCACCCATAGCCACAAGATGGCGGCACCCAGTCCCCTCAGTCCCACCTGGACACCTACTTCTGGAGTTCTCCAGTCCTCTCAGTCCCCCAGCCACTCAGGGACAGCTCAAGGCATAGATAACCAGGGCCAGTTTGAGGCTTGCACTGCCAGCAGTGGCAGCAACAGAGATGTGATGGGGGTGTCACCTTCCCCTGATTGCAGGGTCACCTCCTGCCCTCAAGGGCTCCTGGACTGTGAGAGGGGGCAGGCTGGGCTGAGGGACCCCCCTCTCCAGTGCATGAATTTACATGCACTGGGCCTCTAGCTTTTATATAAACACTTTTGTTTTTAAGGTTGCGTTATATTTGTGGAAACTTTAGAAGAATTTAAATGTTTATCTACATTTTTTACTGGGAAAACTTTATCTTTTAAAGTTTCTGCATTCTTACTTAGTCCTTTATAATAAATTAACTTCATTTATATTTATAATTTGAGAAACTGATTTTATACTTAAATTGCACTATAATTGATTTACAAAGATAAGTGGTCTTAAGTGGTCCATTCAGATTGATGACATTCTTCAGTATATTGTTGAAATAAATAAAGATTTATATTTTTCTTAATAATAACAAATTACTCAATTTTCCAATAGACATAACAAAAGATTATAGATTCATACATACGTATACAGACACATAATCTTTATAACCCTTCTTTATTCTTTTTCATGTCCCAATGTGTATCATTAACATTATTTTTTCAGTAATATAAAGGAATCTGGGGTGTATAAAATTAAGGAAACCATATAGAAAGCCGGAATATTTTACAAAATAAAATAAACTCAGTATTATATTTTATTGTTAATTTAATTTAAGGTATTATTTACTTATTCATTTATCAGTGGTAGATCTAAGAAATGTATTTTTTTTTCCTATCAGAAGTAGTTTTCTAGTTTCTGCTTTCCAGATAGTAAAATGGTCTTAATAAATCATGATCATCTTAATATTTAAGTTTCCTAAAATAAATAGGAAATTGCTAATACTTTTTTATGTCCTTCACTTCCCCCACAAAATGGTCTTAAAATAAGAAAGGATGGTCAGAAGTATTATGAACACTGCTCATTATAAATTCCCTTGTCTGAGTATGTGTATCTCTTCCTTCTACATAATTTTGTTTCTTTATCTTTTCTTTTACTACACTCTATGTCCATAAAGTTCTTGCTTTCATCCATATTTAAGATACAACTTCTTTTACTTTGCAACTTTGCATTCATCACATAATATTTTGATCATTATAATTTAAAAGCACTTCAGGGAAATATCTGATTATTTATCTTATTATATTTACAGAAGTTCCATGTGAGATGCCCTGTAAAACATTTTCCACTGTGACCCTAACATAAAGTAAACTCTCAATTTATCCTCACCAAGCCTCTTGTTAAAAAAAGAAATTTCCCAGCCAATGACTGTGAACCCCCAAAACTTTTTCCTTTTTTTTCTGAGAACTGTTTCTGCTCAATTATTTATGAAACAATCTAGGCCTTTGATGCTAAGGGTCTATAAAAATTGTCTTTCTTTCCTCAAAGTAGAACACCCCAACAAACATCTTATATAATAAAAGCCTAATATGCAAATCAACCAAACAACAGGTGGAAAGACCGGTTGCTATGATGAGCACTGACCACCAGGGGGCAGACACTCAATGTAGGAGCTGCCTCCAGCCCACAGGCCCCAGGTCGGCCAAGGCAGATGCCAGCAGGGGGCTCCTGATCACCCTGTGCTGGTTGCCCCACAGAGGGAGGCCAACAATGGTGGTGGTGAGGGGCGGGCTGGCTGGCCAGTGGGTCTGCGCCAACCCCCAATCACCCCGCTGGTCACCTCCCACAGAGGGAAGCAACTGGGGGCAGGGGATGGGGCTGGCAAGCAGGCGGTGCCAGGCTGGCCAAGGCTGGTCCCATCACCCCACTGGTACTCCACATATTGGCCCTGATCACCAGCCAGGCCTAGGGACCCTACCATGTACAAATTTTGTGTATTTGGCCTCTAGTTTAAATATATTGTAAGCATGAGATTCAGCTTCTTATTCACTAACCTCAGGGCAACTTGTCTGCAAATGAAGTTTTCTACCCACTAATAACAACTTAATAAGTCATCTAATTTGCTTTCAGTCTTTCAATTATTTAGATGTCAGTCTCCCATTAAAAACATTGGTTAATTAAAGCAAACTATAACTTATTCCAAGTTCATAATTTGAACAGCTATTTTCGGAAGGTATTTTATTAAAATAATATTGAACATAAATATATTTAGATAGTTAACACAAATGCAAATTCAATAGTTGTCCAAGTGATTATATAAAGCAATATTTATTAGTCTCTGGTGTTTTAGGATTTTGAAATATGTAAGAAAAAGAAAACTGGTGTTAAAAACCACACTAGATGTACATATGGGCCTAGCCAGTGGCCATGGACAACGGGGTTGGGGGGGGGGGGGGGTCGTATCTAGGGAGGGGTTTGGAATGGGAATGGGGGAATAAGGACAATTATGTGAGACCATAATCAATTAAAAAAACAAAACACACTAGACATGACACAAAAACAGATATTGATTTTGTTCCAGTACCGTTGGTACTGAGGAGACAGAAGGAAGTTAGGTATAGATAAGGGTGGGACCACGGGAAAGGAAGTAGAACCAGAACCTAACTAGTTGGAGTTACTAAGGCACTCCAACTAGAGGGGAAGGAAGGGTACAAGGCAGAAAGCCATATAAACCAATCCAAAGGATATTGCTAAAGCAGAACTCTTTGAAAAGACCAATTAGGAGCTAGCAAGACTACCCACCCTGTAAATAAACAGACTCTGATACATAAACAGAGAGCAGACTGATGGTTGCCAGAGAGGTGTTGGAGGGTGCACTAGGGGGAAAAAGTGAAGGGATTGGGAAGTATAGGTTGGTAGTTACAAATTAGTCATAGAGATAAAGTATAACGTAGGAAATATAGTCAATAATATTATAATAACTATGTTTGGTGACAGGTGGCTACTGGAAATATCAGGGGAACACTTTGTAAAGTATATGATTGAATAACCACATTGCTGTACACCAGAACTAATGCAAAACAATATTAAATGTAAAACATGAATATATATGTTAGGGTAACTAAAGGAGGAGTGCATGAGACCAAAAGTGGTAAGGGGATTATAAATTTACCAATAGCCTGGTACATGAAATTCATGCATTCAGGGCAGGGGTGAGGTGGTCCCCCAGTACAGAAGCCCTGTGATCTATCGCCCCAAGGAGGTAGGCCCCACCAACCCATCCGGAGCTCCTTGATGGATTGCCCCAAAGAGGTAGGCTGGAGCCGGGGTAGGCCTGCAGACCCCAGCACAGGCATACGGAGGCCCCCACCAGGCCGTGGTGGAGGCCTGCGAACCTCCGTGGGTCTGTGGACCCCCAGCCAGGGACACAGTGGAGAGGCCTGCCTCCTTCCCCCATCCCCACCACCATCCCAGACGCTGCAAGTCGCCGCCCACCCATACCTACTGCGCACACAGCCTGCTATTGGGTCATTATTGTGACAGCATCCTAACCAATTTGCATATTGCCCTATTATTAGTATAGATTAGATTGTATGCAAACCAGAGGGTTGCCCAAAATGACATCAGAAGCCAGAAACTGGGACATTATAGGTTTTAAAGGACTCTAGGCAGGGTTTTTCAGTAGGAATTCTATGATATTTTCTGGGTGGGTGGGATCCTGGGCAAGTCCAGAGGGGAAAGACACTGGTCTTAGCAAATGGAATGTGGTCTATGCGAAAGGGAAAGTCAGTTGCAAAATAATCTACAGGTCAGTTTCCCAGGGGAGAGGGTATGGAGTTTATTATTTGATCAGGCCTAACAATATTTTCTTAAGTAAATACAAACAATCACTACCTTAAAAATTTAGATTAATATACATATGTGCTATTATCTAAGGTTCATTTTTTTAATATAGTATTTTTAGGTACTGTAGGAAGTTTAGAAGATAGGAATAAGTGTGGATTTAATTATGTCTTTTCAGCCTACGGCCACTCTAAGGTAAATAGAGTTGAGGAAACAAGAAAATTCTTATTATTAAAAGTCTGTAAGACAGAACACATGCATTTTCAGTGCTTAAGAATCAAATTTACCGAAATTCCAGTCTTGCATAACTTTAAAATGATATACATATGCTTGCCAAAATGTATTCTAACATATAAAATGTATTCTAATCTCTTCTTTACTTGCAAATTTGTCTGCTAAGTGAAACTTCTTTATATCCTTAGGCAAATAAAGTTCATTTAAAAGTCTCATTGTGTTTGTCTAGTTAAAGAAACCTGGTAGTTTCTTACCATATTAAATGGAATATATAGTAATAATATTTATAATTTATTAAATGCCTACTGAATATTTGTAAGCCACTCCCATATGTTATTCTTTTACATATCACTTAATTTCATGTATACCCTACCAATGAGAAATACATCATTAACATTTCACTAATGGGAAAAGGAAAGGATATGAAGAGAAGTACCTTGCCTAGGCCACATAGTATAAGGCACTGAATTAAGACCAGAGCCCAGGGCTATTACAAGTCATTACTCCTACAATGTCCAATTGAAGATGTTTTGTCAGCTAACCTCTCAGAGGTCAAATCTTTTATGTAGGATATAAAATTTTATATTTAAGCAAATTCACACTCCTGGGCTTCCAGGCATCACCTCAGACTCTGCGCTGAGATTCTCTCAGTAGATCATGCCAGTTCTCTACTAGGGAATGTGAAAAGCCAAAATGGCAGGACATCTTGCATACTCTTGCCAGCCTATCATTGAATCCCCATGAATAACATACTAGACCTTGTTTACTATAAACATTTATTTATTGAAAACTTGGACTAATTTCAGGAAGAAATGATGATGGAGAAAAAAGGCAAATTTTCAATACTTTATAGGTATCCCGGGAAAATGGGTACTTAAATGCTTGGCATTCATGTTGCTTGTTTGTTTTAACATGGTTTCTCCATCAATCAAGTTTAAGAAACAAATCCTAGACCTTCATTTGTTACTATTCAACTGTCTAGTTCAGGGATGATAGTGAAAACTTTTCTTTCCATATCTAGGGTTATGAGGAAAATGTGAAATTGCCCTATGACAAGTTCAAATAAAAGAAAGATGGGAACTTACCAAAATGAGATGGGTTCTGAGACCAATTTCTGGGGAACTGGGAATATTGCACTTCAGTAATGGAGAGTAGATTTGCTTTTTTGAAGGTTTTTCAGCAGCATTGGTGCCCAGAACTCAAGCGTTACCTGAGAAGCCTTTGAATAATATAAACAATTTTAATTACAATTTGTTTAGACATTAACAATAAAAGATGTATAGCTTTATGATTATGTGTTGAAATGTATTTATAAACGTAGAACAAATAATCAAGTCAATGACATTCAAATTTGTAACATTATTTTAATGTGATAAAATATTCTGTCCTACTGACTTGTTTCAGCATGTTTAAGCCACTCTGTGTCATATGTGATTAAATTCTCTCAACCTTTCTCTTTATTTGAATTACTGTGAACACTGTTATGCATCAGGGTCCATCAACTAGGAAGAATCCTCTTTATGAGACTACCTCGGACCTTTCCCATCATTCTGCACCAATTCATATTGTGTGACTATCATGTTCTAAAAAACAATGTAAATTCAGACCCTGAAGTAGCATGATTGCATATAATTATGTTTTTTCTTGATGATCCATAATGTGCTTATATATATTTAGAATATAATAAAATGAAATCATTCTCATAGAAAACATATGAAAGCCCAGTTTGAAAAATACATAAAGAATTCACACAATAATAATAGGGATTCAGATTCTTAATTGTTTTTATTGGACTATAGACAACAACATACATTTTGTGTAAATCTGATAATGCAACCAGGGTTCTGTTCATTTTCTGGTGAACAAAGTATTTTCAGACATCAAATATTACTGAACCTTTCCTATACACATATGAGACATAAATCATGTCTCATATGTGTATTCCCCAAAGCATTTGATGTTAATGCTATCATAATGCTTTCTACACTTTATTACTATTCTTTCCTGGCTTAGTGAAATCCCTAATACCAAAATGTATATTCTTCAAGAGTAGACACAATTAATATGAAAAAGCACCTAGTTTAATATTGAATATACACTGGCACTAATTAAATATTTAGGAAATAATTAATAGGCTATTTGAAATATTATACACGAAAATCCTACTTGTAAAAGGGGTTACCATAAATTTTCTCTGATTTTGAAATAAATATAATATTTCAATTTGTTTGCATTATCATCTTTGCTCTGTAGGTGGTAAACTCCAGATATAATAAAGCATCATTACCTATTCCATTTCTTAGTAGGTTTAACAAAATTGACTTCACATATAATGGTAGAAGGCTACTACTGTCATATGTTCCATTTTGAGAGTTCTAAGTGCTCCTAATTTTTCGCCATTAGCAGTGTACTGAGAAAGGCACAATCATGTACTGAGCACAACTGTTATCGATAAATCTGTAGCAACAGGCACATATGGGACTCTCCCAAGTGTCTTTCTTTTTAATGTCAATATATTTTCTACACCCACAGGCATTCATTCCTTTTGGATTATTCCCTTTAAGATCTATGAAGCATAAAGTTTTACCTAATTTTTCCTTAAATATTAATCTGATAAAACATACAAAGCATCTCATTCTTAATAGACTCTATAAGGCCTTTGAATCTTTAGATAAACTACCTTATGTTTTTTTTTAAAATCAATCTTTATTGTTCATATTATTACAAAAGTTCCTCATTTTTTCCCACCAGGTTCCCACCCCACCCTCTGCCCTTTCCCCACCCCCCATTGTCCTCATCCATAGGTGCACAGTTTATGTTCAGTCTCTTCCAGCTTCCACACCCCCCCCCCCTCGAGAATTGTCAGTCCACTCCTCTCCCGTATCTCTGATTCTATTATAATCAACAGTTAATATCGTTCATCAGTTTTTTTAATCCCCCTTTTTTTATTAATAAACTTTTACATTTTTAGGAATAAATTTTAAAATCTAATAATTTTAAACCTTTTTTTTTCTGCCCTGGGAACTGAGAAGCAAACTTGTTTACATGTAAACTTGCCCTTAGGCTATCAAAAGGCATAGCCATTCGAATGTAAATGAACATATTGTTTAAAAATAGCTGCTGGCTGGAATTGGATTACCTCTTTCTGGGTGGGAAGGGGGAGGACATGCCCTTCCTAAACTACCTTTTGTTAAATAACTATTAAAAATGTTTCTGGGCTTTCCAGAGTTCTATAATAGTATATTATCCCATTACATTTTAATATTATTTAAAGGGGGGATTGGACAGGGAAGAGATGCTATAAGTTTATATGGATTGCTTAATAAAGACTTGCAGTTATCTTTACATGGTGAAAAAATTTCTTGTGATGAAACACAGATTTAGATTAGATTTTCTTTTTTTGGCACATTAACATGCACTCCACATAGAGATTAAAAGTAATTTAAAGCACTTCTGGTAGGTTTCTGTATTCATCCAAAAGAAGAAACATTTACACCTCGCTTTCTGTGTTTAAGAAAAATAATCTCACAAAGATAGTTGGCACCACCTAAGTTAGCAACTTATTAAAATTCAAAAGAAAATGAGCAATTCTATTTTTAAGAAAAATGAGGGGGGGAAAAGTGAAATGAATGTTTACTATTCTGCAGTGTTCAAAACTTAGTTTCCAGAGAATTAAAAATTAGAAATTCTGATGTTAAATGTTGGTTAATTATTATTATTCAGTTATATTTAGTTGCATCTAATTTGTACAGTGACATCTTAATAATGTATTTGATGTATTTGAAAAAAATACTTTTTTATTAATTAAGCTCTTGTGTACTTTTTATGGTATTTTTTCAGCAATTCATACTGACACAAAACATGAGTCATATATTATCTGTATGCATAAACATTTTTGATAACTCAAAAATGATGTACCTGAAATAAATAAAAACCATATATGATTAATCATTAATATATGCATGTTAATTGTCTAGTTCTGCTGAATACAACAGAAATCTATTGCCTTACAATTCTAGAGTCTATCAGTCCAAAATCAAGGTGTTGGTAAGGTGAATTTATTCTGAGAACTCTGAGAGACAATACTCTGTTTTATGCCTGTCTCCTAGCTTCTGGTAATAGGTGGCAATGCTTAGCAGTCCTTGAGTTGCATAGGCAGCTTCTGGTGAAAACTGGCAGTCCTTGCCATTCCTTGGTTTATGGATGCATCACTCCAATCTCTGCCTCAGTCTTCACTTGACATTTGCTCCATATATAATTATTTCTATATTCAAATTTCCCTCTTATAATAAGTCCAAGTTAGAGTGGATTAGGGCCCACTTTAATAATTTCATCTTAACTTGAATACATTTTCAAAGACTTTACTTCCAAATAAGATCATCTTCACAGATACCAAGCGTTAGGTTACAACATGTTTTCTTGGGGGAAGAATACTTTAAAACTACAACAATATACTAAAGATGATGTGTTCAATGCTGCTTAGTCTCAGTTTTCCAACCTAGTTTCCTATCTCTAAGAAAAGAGAATTTCCTGTCTAAGTTATGATTTTAGTGTGAATTTTTATTGGGTTCTAGATATATAGAAAAAAGTCTATTTTGGGATATGATGCATACTATTATACATGGTAAATATAGAAGAAGAAAAAAAAACACCGAGGCATTTTAGTCACTATAACAGTTTCTAATTTTTATATCTTTCCCATTTCTTTTACTTTTTCAAATGATTTTTAAAAGAGACTTTAGATTTACCTATATTTTTTATCTATAGAATTTTTACACACACACACACACACACACACACACACACACACACACACACACACACACACACATATATATATATATATATATATATATATATATATATATATATAATGTTTGGTGAAATCACTTATTTTTCTTAGTAATTGCTGATTTAGATTAACTGTAGTGTCATTAATTTGATTACATAATTATGCACCTTTAAGATGAATATTTAAATCATTTGATCGATAGTGCTCTGATATGTACCTGAAAGTAATGAGAACTCAGTTAACTTAGGCTCTTTAGGCAGACTGATGAATTCTCTGGTTTCATCTATTTCAAAATTATCTAGATTCTTCTATTTCAGTTGTTTATTTAATTATGTCTTATACTTGTATGCTAATTATTCTTCAATAAGGTTGTTTACAAAAAAATAAAATATACTACAATAACTCTGTTAAAAAGAAACAAAGAGAAGGGAGAACTAGAGGTGAAGAAAGTTCTTTAAAAACACAAAGCAAAACAAACACAACCAAAAAAAATCACTAACAATATCAAATGTCTATAATGACACGTGGCACTTAGGACAGTCAGACATTCATAATTTTAATGGTACAACTATGCATAACTATTTGACTTTTTTTTTCCAAAATTTTTCCTTCTCCTAGTATATAACCCAAGATTTAAATTCTCAGCCATTTTCCCAACAGAAGTTAAGTATATTTTGCTAAAAAAAAAAGTTACAAAATACTATTTATAGCAGCCTTATTCACAATTGTCAAAATACTGAACTCATCTCAATAACTATCAACAAAAAAAGTAAAGAAATTGTATATTTATATAATAGATTACTACTCAATAATTTAAAAAAAGGAACTACAGATAAACACAAAAATATAATGAATCTCAAAAACAAAAGTAAAAGAAGCCAGAACATTTTATGAATTCAATACAAGCAAACTCATCCACATGTTGTTTGGGAATTGGGCAGGGACTTGAATGACAAGGGATAATAATAACTTTTTTAGGATGATGGATTTATTCTTTAACCTGTTCATTGTGTAGGGTAGAAGAATTTTTGCAGTTTTCAAAATCAATGAATCACCACTTAAGATAACTATATTTTATTGTACGAAAATTATATCTCAATGGAATAACCATGCATATTATATAAAGTTAACTATGTAATTTTCACTATATATGTAATTATATATTAATTTCTCTTAATTTTTATTTTGAGGAGAAATTTCCTGTTGTGCAAGGCATATAAATACATCATTTTTGTGCACTTTTTCCCTTTCTTATGTTCATCTATATTATGAAATTGAAAATGTTTAAAATTACCTATTTCAAAGACCCTACCACTAATCATTTTTCATTATAGAAGTACTGTATTTTCCAGCGTATAAGACGACTTTTGAAACGAAAGTCAACCGAAAATCAGGGGTTGTCTTATACGCCGAGTATGTCTCAAAAA